ATACAAAAATTAAAATACCCGAAGTCGTTGAGCTCAATTTCTATAATAAAAAGTAACTTATAAGTAACTTGTAAAGTAACTTTTCCAACCCTGCTTAAGCGTATGAATTCCGCATGTACACGCGATAAAGCGCAACTGCTTTCGACATTAATCTAATTTTAATAGATAACGCCGTCTTTAAAGCCTCATGAGCTTCGGTAAAGTTTTTAGTCGATCACGATCGTCCGCATGCGATCGAGCCGTGTCGTGAAACGGAAGAATAATTTTGAATCGGTTGTAGTTATACCTATCAGACCTCTGCTACGTATATACTGCGGTGTTGTAGGCATGTGAGGGGAAGTGGAACAGAAGAGAAAGGCACATGAAGATGAACTAGATTTGGATAGTCATCTCTCCTTTCCTTCCTTGCATTCGTCATCTTTGTCCATCATCGGTTTCTTTGTCTCTTTCTCATTTTCCTCCACACCCTGCCCCTTCCTACGTAAATTCACATATCTCGCATTCTCCGCTACATCGTCCTCCTCATTATCCTGCGTACATTGACACGATCTACCTGCCAGAATAAGAGATCGCCAATATATAATTAATCTGTCCCGCAGCCATCGATGGAGGGGCGCAAAATTTTATGTTGGTTCCTCCGCACGGGTTCAAGCACGTTACACGCGCATCTATTATTTATTTCCGAGATGCGTACGATCGTGCTACGATCGATACCGGCGATCACGATTCGAAATCGGTACGTTCTCTTCCGCTCTACTAAAGCGCGGGAAAGAGAGAAAGGGAAGAGAAGCCGAACTACGAGAGAAGAGAGCTGCGAATGATCCGGGAGCCAGTAGTACGTGATCTAGAATAGTGAGATCTCGCGAAATGCGAATTACGTCTGGCGGAGAAGGTAAAGGAAATAGGCGAAGGAAGGGAGCGGAAGATGCGTGAAGGCGTCATCCGCGCCGATGCGATGATGGAACTCCTCGCTCTCGCAAGCCAACCGCGCCGTAACGCTCTGAAACGCGTCAGAGAAACAAGAATTAAACGAATCGTCGAAGAGACCGGCATCTAAGTGAACGAAAAATTACCGGCTAATGCACAGCAAGAGCAGAGAACGGCAGCCATCGTGCCCGATGCTCTCCTTGCTTTTTTCTTAGTACAATCACCGACCCTCAAGTAGATCTATATAAATGGGAATTGCAAGCACTTACGCTGCAGCACTCGGACCTCCGCCGTAGGTTCCGCAGCTTCACGGTACGCACGCGACGTTCCCTTAGCTTTGCCGCGCGGTGGTTTAACGGCAGGCAAAAGGCGCAAGGATAAAGGCCCGCCGCGGGTTTCGACGGAGCCGAATCGTTCAGTTCGTCGTGCGTACGACACGCTCGCGTTTCCACGACGAAACGATGCTTTGGATACCAATGCACAGCATACCGGAAATCGATCGCCGACGTCTGCACATCTGTCTGACGTTGGCAATCTGCGCATTTTTCATCGTCGACACGATCGACGCCGCCACGAACGAAAGTAAGGACACGTGGACCGGATTCACGACGTCATGCACGTCGGAGGATTCGAAGAACGTGTCGGTTTCTTGTCACGGAGTGCGAATTGTACGGAAGATTGTACAGCAGCTACTGGAGACCACCAACAAGGAACGGGACATACAACTGTTCGACGGAATATCCTTGGTCGAGGTGCCTGGCTCTTCCCGAAAGGCCAGAGTTTTGAAGGGCTTCGGAGGTCTCGGACCCTTTTTACAGTTTCTGGAAGGCAGAGAACTGCGAGTCAAGCTGCCGTCTTTACTCCCACCGAATCTTGAAACCGCTTTGAAGGAGAGTTTGCCTTCCGAAGCTGAAGGTTTGTAATTTATGAGCGACACGACTGAGATGTCGAAGAAAATTTATGAAATTTTCTGAAAATCTTACATTTTTTTTTTTTCAGCGAGAAAGAGCGATGGCGGTTTTGGCGGCGGCGGCGGTGGCGGCGGCGGTTTTGGCGGCGGCAAAGGTGGCAAGAAGGGCGGTGGTGGTGGACTTTTGTTGATGATGCTTATGATGGGTAAGTTTTCGTGGATAATTATTGCGTAAAGAGGTGATTACAATTGAAAAAGATAATTATAAGAAAATAATTATTACATTCTGCCTAACGCGTATGTACATTAAGTAATATATCTTCGCGCAAATATTTTGTCAATTTTGGTAAAATATTAAGACGGTAAGTAATAATTATTTTTTATTTTTTATATAATATTTGCTGATTTCGAGTTTATGTGTTATATTTGTGATAAAAATATATGATATTTATCACAAAGGATTTTGTACTATGCTTTTCCCAAATTACATTTTTATTCAGTTATATCTAACGGAAGAATTAAGCGTATGATTACATTCAATTATCATTATATTGTTACATAATCAGTGTTTTTCACATAATCTCATGTCTCGTGACGTTCGATTCTACCTTATAATGTAAATTTTACTGTAATTTTAAAAATTTACTTTTCTTTTGAACCATCTAGGTAAAATGATGGCTGCTATGGGTTTCGGCGCACTGGGTCTCTTAGCCATGAAGGCGTTAATGGTTTCGGCAATGGCCTTGATGCTGTCACTGATTGTAGCCGTGAAGAAACTAGCGAGTGGTGGCGATGATCACGGCGGCGGTCACCATGTCGTTTACGCGCAGGAAGTTGGTGGTCATCACCATCGCAAGAAGAGATCAGTCGAAGACGTTGACTCCACGCAGTTGCCTTACAGAGGATACGCTCATCTTTACGCTAACTTGGGACCGTCTTGATGCTTTTAATCGTTAATTGCACCAACCTCAGAGATTGAATTGGTCCTCCAGCTTCTCAACTCTCTTATCGCTACTAAAGCGAACTTCTCAGATAGATACGACTAGATACGACTACGTTGACAACAGCACATTGACATTACGCTCACGTAATTTACATTTCAGTCACATCATCATTGTCCTCTTATTCATCGTCACATTCATTTAACGCAACGTTCATCCTTTTCACAACGCGGCTTTCTTTATAGTTTAATAAAACTGCAAACGTCAGTTGCGGTAGGAGGGTTAATAGGCGCTGGAAAATGACTGAAGACGTGACGCGACGCGAGATCAGTGACAGTGACATTGACGAAACGACAATGACTGATTGACAGCTACGGAACTAGAAAGTGATATTTAACAAATGCTTGCTCACGAGAAACGTGGTAACCGATCTCCATTGATCTGCCACTTTGACAGGACTCTCAGTGAAAAATTACAGACGCGCACCGAAGAAACCAAAGTACGTTGTTCGATTTTTTTTTATTTATTTATTTATTTTTTTTTTTTACCCACGTATTTATTGTTGTGCAACACATGTTAATAAAGCATACGTGTTTGGAAGATGCGAAATATATACGTGTTTTACATTTATTACCATCTCGATTCAAAACGCGAAATTGTTTAACTTACATTTATTAATGACATCGATAATGAAATCGCATTTTATTTTAATTGAACGTTAAACAGGATACATAAATCGCAAAATTAATTTAAGCAGAGGCAGCGTTTAGTATGCAATTTTCGGACGAGCCAGCGTAACGTCGCTTATTACTAGAAATTAATAAGATATTTCGTATAACAGGCTTGGAAACGAAGCGACACGGTTCGCTGGGTCGAGTCCGCCGATATTTTCCATTTACTTGCACACGGAACATTGGAAAATCGCAGGAACGAGGTAACAAATCGAGCCAATGAGGAAAGTGTGCCAGCGACCTACCGTGTCGCATATTCACCTGCGTTTACTCGATGAGCGTTTATTTAGCTAACGTCGCGTACGATGTAAAGCTGTAATAATAACCCGCGCGCGAATGTCACCTAAATAGACTAATGGCGATAGCGCATCGAAAGTTAAACACGGCTGAACGACGCACCGTATGCAACGGATCTGATTTAACAATGCGGTGTTTCATTATGCGTTTCATATATTTGCTTATTCAAGATCGCGAATTCATTGATATTTAGTGTCGTTTGAGCTTGGAATGTAGCGGGATTCTGCAGCGATTTGTACGGAGGAATTTCATGTGAATCTTGAGAAAGCCAATTTGAGTCTTTCAGAACTGAACGATAAATTACGAGAACACGTCTGTAGACACAAATGCCGGTGCTCGTTTTTATTCGCGGCATTCCCGCGAGCGCGCGCGCATGCACGTGGATCCATGCCCAAAGCGGATTGGAGAGCTCGATGGAAGGAACAAAAAAAGAAAAGCGAAGGAGAAAGAGATAGAGAAGAGAGGCGTGATGGAAGAAAGGCTCGATCGAGTGGTGTAAGAGGAACGGATCCTCTTTCTCTTTACGCATCTCTCTATGCCGCGTCTTCTCCGTCCGTATTGGATTCCTCCCACTGCAGTCCTCGGCTCCTTCTTTCTCCACGTGGCGTGGTAGGGGAAGGAAGAGCTCCGGCTAAGACCTACTGGCATACATACCAATCGTTTCCTTTTTTACGTTTCGAATATCATAAAACGTGGAGATCCGCACTGAAAGCAGCTCAGACGGCGATGCAGTCTCGGGCAGAACCGATCGCTTCTCAGCGTCTACAGTCTGTGATCCATCTCTATGTGGAATGTCGGATCAATTAATTCATAATTCGTTATTATTTGATTATTCAAATTAAATTTTTCACGAAATTCACTATTTAATTGTACACATCTTTATGCTTAATTTTCTATCCTATATCCATTGCACTACTTTTCTAGTGACTAGAAAGAATGAAGATGGCGCGTTATACTCACTAATTACTCAAATTGAGTTTATTATATTTAATAAGATTGAAAGCAGTAATCAACTGCAATCACTGCCAACGCGTTAATGGAAATGAACGATTTATTTTCTTTCCTTTGATCCTTCCAGATAACTTTTACAACTCTGTACAAAGGAATGAATGGGCAATACATCTATTGTCATTCGGATTATCATTTATTTTGTTCAACTCTTCTGTTGTACCTTTATTAATATTCTGAACTATAATAGAAATATTATTTAGACTTGGATGGTTTTTAATGTTCATTATTAATTAAAGTAGTCTAATAATACTATATATATATATAGCTGATTTGTGATCTATTACTTATAATGCTCAATATGGAAAGAATTACCGGCATAGTTTCTGGCACAGCAACCGCGTTATGGTCCATAGACGAGAAGAACCAGTTGGGCGCGGAAGAGTGCCCCGTTACATTCCACACTCATTACAAACTTCGTAAAGAAATTTAAAATTCAAATTTGATCTGGTTGACTACCGGTTGATTTTTCAGGTCGTACGCATGTCGATGGCCAATGGAATTGATTGAACATTGCATCAGAAATTCCTAGCACAATCGATTGACAGACATTAAACCAGTTACTGACAAGTTCGAAGGCTAGAATATCGAAGACCACCGGTTTTTTCCAGATTTAGGACAGGAAACGCAACACGATTGCTAGATACGCTTTTATGGACGTTGCTGTCCTAAATCGATACGTTTTTTTAAGTGATTCTCTAGATACCTTGGGAACATTTTGTTTCATTGGCATATTGATCTGGAAAAATACCATGACCTCCAAAAGTCGGTGACCTTAATATGTAGACATTTACATATAAACTGGTAATGCACTCGAAAAGAGGGTAATTCTTTATAAAAAAGTAATTAAAAAATGTAGAGTTAAACTTTTCCTCACATAAGACTTTATCAAGAAAAGCTATGAAAATTAAGAAATTAATAATATTCTAACTATTATCTAATATATATTTTTTATTTACTATAATTGTAAAATTATAATTAACAATTGTTCTAATATAAAAACAAGTATTATTTATTGCTGTAAAAACGAAATTGAGAGAAAAAATTGAGAGAATCGATAAATTTGAATATAAGTTTTCCTAGTCATCTTTTTCATAAAATAATATTATTGATTTTAATAGAAGAAATTATATTTGTTATTTCTTACATATGCAATATCTCTTTAACATATTTTTTTGATACTTTAATATTTTAAAAAGTACTTAATCAAGTAAATTTTTTCATATATCGCTTTAATAATTTCAATAATCGCTTTAATAAATTTGTGTGATAAGAGCGAGAGTTATTGTAA